AGAAGGTGTTAGCTTTCAAATGATGTATCACACATGAAATTCTGGCTTACATTTCCTCAGTTTATCTCGATTTTATCTATTTCCAAAAGACATATTTGGAAATAGGATCCTTTCTCTATGATGATAAAACAAACAAGTTGTATGTTGTTTCTGTAAAAATTTTTTTTTTTTTTAGTTTTTAGGAACAAGGTTAAATGAAATGTTGGCACTGCTTTGTTTCAGAAACGTTTTTTAAAGGTTTAAAATATAAATCATAAAGGTCGCCCTCTCTAAATTTCACCTGCTAGTAACTAATATTAGCAAGTCAAATCAAAGAGAGATAATTGCAGAGCTTTATTTTACCTCGTTTCTGCTGATTCACTCGAACAGAAGGTGGTTTAAACAAAACATAGAACTTTATTGATCTCACATTGGAGAAATTGTGACATCGACTCTTAAACATCCAATTCCTGCTTCTCTCTTGTCTTCATGAATATAAACCTAATTTTCCTCCTATAGAAAACTTTCCATGCTTTTTGTTTGCTCTTTTCATTTCTTTGTTGTTTTTTTCTGCCCCTCACTGAGTCTGCCAACCCCCCCACCTCCAAACATGAACATCACATTTGGGTCTGGGCCCACTGGGGCGCCGTTAAATGGCCGTTCTCGGCTCCGTCCCTTGGGAACCTGCAGTCTGGGTAGCGGTGAGAAGTGAAGCTCTCAGTGCCTCTCCAGAAACCAGTCAGAGCTGCGATGGGAGGAAGTTGGGATCACGATGCCGCTTGCTTTGCTCAGACAGTTACTGGTAATTGGTGTCTAGGAATGCTGTCGTTTTCCTTTGCTTTTTCACCTGCTTATATTAAGGCTTCCTAAAGACTTTGTATCGTTATAAACTAGAAAACTGACAAGTTCTAATTTATTTGCTGCGTTGGTAACGTTTTGCTCCATTAGTGAGAAAAAACAATAAAGACATTAAAGGCCTAATGTAGAGCTGCAGTTTAAAAAAACTGAAGCAGTCAAATTTTCTATCAATTCATTTTGGGATTTATAAAAAAAGAAATACATTTATTAAATTTCTAAATAAAGAATGTTTGGAACTTTGAATTAAGATTCATTATAAAAAACATACATAAATGTATAAAAGCAGACTATATATATAAATAAATATATATATATATATATATATATATATATATATATATATATATATATATATATATATATATATATATATATATATATATATATATATATATATATATATATATATATACAGGGATTGATGTTTAGGATTTTTACCACTTGCCCTTTGGGCAAGTGACCTCCACATTTCATTTGCCCAGAAACAATTTTTACTTGCCCAATATAATGATAAATATAGTTCCTAATATTCATTTTTGTATATATATCAATGAAACATGTTTGTTTTTTTTAATGTTTTTTTGTAATTCAGTATTTTTTAAGTTTCCAGGTTCCTGGTGTGTATCTGCATGCGTCAGATAATGAACTCAAGCCTACATTACCGTGTTAACATGCTTAACATGCATTACCGTGCTGACATCCTTCCTGCACATTCTTTTCAAACTAAACTTTGCTTTAAACTGTTGTGTGCTTGGAAAAATATAAATTGTAATGTTAAAAATCTAAAAAAAAAAAACTTGACAGGTTAAAAACTTAAGATAAATCACAGACAGAAGTCAATGTCACCAATGAATAACTTTTATTTTAGAGTCACGGTATGTTTATACGAGATAATACTATTAATATAATGTGACTTTTCTAGAGAATCATTATACATAGTTATTTTATTCAGGGTTTCCACAGTCTGACATCATTTCAGAATTCCCTGACTTTTAACTGACTCAGGATTAGTTTTCCCTGACAAAATAAATGCAGCCGTTTGTCGCTTTGGTAACTACATCAAAAATACAGCTAGGTGGACAAAATCACTATATATATATATATATAAACTACAGGTGCTGGTCATAAAATTAGAATATCATGAAAAAGTAGATTGATTTCAGTAATTCCATTTAAAAAGTGAAACTTGTATATTATATTCATACATTACATACAAACTCATATATTTCAGATGTTTATTTTGTTTAATTTTGATGATTACAAATGACAACAAATGAAAATCTCAAATTCATCATATCAGAAAATTAGAATATTGTGAAAAGGTTCAAAATTGATGGCCCCTGGTGCCACACTCTAATCAGCTAATTAACTCAAACCACCTGCAAAAGCCTTTAAATGGTCTTTCAGTCTAGTTCTATAGGCTACACAATCATGGGGAAGACTGCTGACTTGACAGTTGTCCAAAAGACGACCATCGACACCTTGCACAAGGAGGGCAAGACACAAAAGGTCATCGCTAAAGAGGCTGGCTGTTCACAGAGCTCAGTGTCCAAGCACATTAATAGAGAGGCGAAGGGAAGGAAAAGATGTGGTCGAAAAAAGTGTACAAGCAAGAGAGATAACCGCACCCTGGAGAGGATTGTGAAACAAAACCCATTCAAAAATGTGGGGGAGATTCACAAAGAGTGGACTGCAGCTGGAGTGAGTGCTTCAAGAACCACCACACACAGACGTATGAAAGACATGGGTTTCTGCTGTCGCATTCCTTGTGTCAAGCCACTCTTGAACCACAGACAGCGTCAGAAGCGTCTTGCCTGGGCTAAAGAGAAACAGGACTGGACTGCTGGTGAGTGGTCCAAAGTCATGTTCTCTGATGAAAGTAAATTTTGCATTTCCTTTGGAAATCAAGGTCCCAGAGTCTGGAGGAAAAGAAGAGAGGCACTTCATCCACGTTGCTTGAAGTCCAGTGTAAAGTTTCCACAGTCAGTGATGGTTTGGGGTGCCATGTCATCTGCTGGTGTTGGTCCATTGTGTTTTCTGAGGTCCAGGGTCAACGCAGCCACATACCAGGAAGTTTTAGAGCACTTCATGCTTCCTGCAGCTGACCAACTTTTTGGAGATGCAGATTTCATTTTCCAACAGGACTTGGCACCTGCACACAGTGCCAAAGCTACCAGTACCTGGTTGAAGGACCATGGTATCCCTGTTCTTAATTGGCCAGCAAACTCTCCTGACCTTAACCCCATAGAAAATCTATGGGGTATTGTGAAGAAGAAGATGCAATACACCAGACCCAACAATTCAGAAGAGCTAAAAGCCACTATTAGAGCAACCTGGGCTATCATAACACCTGAGCAGTGCCACAGACTGATCGACTCCATGCCACGCCGCATTGCTGCAGTAATACAGGCCAAAGGAGGCCCAACTAAATACTGAGTGCTGTACATGCTCATACTTTTCATGTTCATACTTTTCAGTTGGCCAACATTTCTATAAATCCTTTGTTTTTATTGGTCTTCAGTAATATTCTAATTTTCTGATATGATGAATTTGAGATTTTCATTTGTTGTCATTTGTAATCATCAAAATTAAACAAAATAAACATCTGAAATATAGGAGTTTGTATGTAATGTATGAATATAATATACAAGTTTCACTTTTTAAATGGAATTACTGAAATCAATCTACTTTTTCATGATATTCTAATTTTATGACCAGCACCTGTATATCTATTCAATTCAATTCAGTTTATTTATATAGCGCCAAATTCACAACACATGTCATCTCAAGGCACTTTACAGTTCAACCAGATCATCCAGTCAAATTGATTCAAAGTTTTCTATCTACGGAAAACCAGTCGATTGCATCGACTCATTGACTCTTCAGCAATCCCTCACACTAAGCATGCTTGTAGCGACAGTGGAGAGGAAAAACTCCCTTTTAACAGGAAGAAACCTCCAGCAGAACCAGGCTCAGTGTGAGCGGCCATCTGCTGAGGCCCACTGGGGTTCAAGGAGACAGAAGCAGAGACACAAAAAGCATATATATATATATATATATATATATATATATTTAGCGTTCCTTGACAGTGTTGTTTCTAAGTCACCAATTTAGTGCTACTTGGTCCCAATGGAATTTCCCTTTGGGAACCTGCTAGCACTAAGTTGCTAACTTGTTAGCGAGATGCTTCCAACAAACCAGCCACAATCAAACTTGCTTGTGAACCTTCCACCACAACAATCCCGCCCCCTTGATAAACGACCAATCACATTAACTTTATTCACTCGTATAAAGTCGTGCACCACTCGGGAGAATTCGGAAATGCAACGGTTGGAACAGCCGCTTCTCTACGAATTTAAATGTCACATAGTGGTAGCGAAAGAAACAAATTATCAAGAAAATTTGTAAATAAGCAGCAGAGTTGAGGGCCCAATGTCAATGTGTTTCATGGGGCACCAAATTCCTGATGGCCCCCTAGCTTCTCAGTCATAAATCTGTGTTTCATAGTGATGCTGGTTTCTCAGAGATGGGAAGTTACGAAGTACAAATACTTCGTTACTGTACTCAAGTAGATTTTTCTGATATCTTTACTTTACTACTTATTTTTATGGTGACTTTTTACTTCTACTCCTTACATTTTTACACAAATATCTGTACTTTCTACTCCTTACATTTTAAAAAATTGACTCGTTACTTTAGTTTTGAATCATTTCAATGGAGTTACCGTTATTATTTTTCACGTCATCAATACCAAATTCAATCTAATTGGATGGGAATCTACGTTGCATTTGACGCACCACTACAAGATGAATCGACAGATTCGGCGGTATTCATTGGCGGCAAATCATTGCAGCTTGGTGGCAGTGGTGTTAGCATAGTAGCATGGACGACGAGATGATTGAAAATGAACACAACGGAGATCTAGTCCTATTGGCAGACATCCATTTAAAATGTAGGCAACGGCATGAAAAAAGTGGTTTCTACTTTTACTTTTATACTTTAAGTAAATTTACAAGCCTGTACTTTGTTACTTTTACTTGAGTAAAGAAGTTTAATCAGTACTTCCACTTTTACCAGAGTATTTTTTAACACAAGTATCTGTACTTTTACTCAAGTACGGAAAGTGAGTACTTTTGCCATCTCTGGTGTCTTTGTTCGTGCAGCTAATCAACCTGGTGTCCTGGAGGAAATCATTCACAACTTGGACTACTGTGACATTCTTGTGTTGGGGGCGGAGCTAAACCCAAAGCAAGAATCTCTTCAGCTGCAGCTAAGTGCGCTTCTGGGAAAGCATCTCGACGCCACCAACTCCACATCTGGCATGTCCATATATGGTAGGCAACCAACAGTAACACCAAAGCAGCACATCTGCTGGATGTATAGAAGAGTAACACCCCCCCCTCCCCTTGTCCTCAGGCGTGGACTCCATGATGAACTACGAGCAGGTGATCAGACAGGTGCATTACTACCACCTGCAGCCTGGAAAGCTAACGGAGAGGAGGTTTCGCCTGACCTGCTCAGAGCTCAACGGACGCTACACCAGCAATGAGTTCACCATCGAGGTCAGCCATCCAGCTCCTTTTCAATATTATCAGATTTCTCTGTAGCTTCTTTATGTTTTTATTTTTCACATGCTTTCTACCCGCCATTATTGTGCCTCTCTGGGTCATTTCGACCTTAAATCATTTATTTGTCGAAATCTGAGCCAATAAAGGCAGCGTATTTGGGGTAAATAGGGACGCCCATCTAGCTTGGATCTAATTTAACATAAATAAGGCAAAATGCTTGCCTCAGGCCCAAATGAAAATAACCTCAGAAATGGAGCTACTTAGAACGGCGTTTCAGCAGCTGTTTGGGGGATTTTATTGGAGGCTCGGCTTCATTCCCTCCGTCTTCTGAATCTCCCAGGCGAAAGCCAAGAGGGCAAGTATGAATGTTTCACTGCAGCCTAATAGGCACAATAATGGCAATTACACCAGAAGCAAATAGAACATGAACAGGACTTTCACTGCAAAACAAATCTGAGGTATTACTGCTGTTTGTCAGCTGATGAAAAACCGGAAAACTAGAAAGTTCTTTACTCTTTTCACCAGGAAATAAAAAGACTTAGACTCAGACAAACTTGTGCAGAGTGTATACAGAATGAATTTTCGTTGCATACAGCTTACGGCAGTGCAAGGAGATTGCAGTTGGCATTTTATAACATTGCAATATAAAGTGCAGCAGCGATCAGAATGTAACAATGCAGTAGAAAACGTTTCAAATAATGATGCAAAAAAGGATTTATATGAAAAAGTTCAGTGCAGTGCAGAATAATATGGTGGCAAATGCAGCAGAACGTTCAGTTATCTCCTATTTAAAAGGATTATAAAAGCTATTCAGCGTTGGTAACGCAAAAGGGAAATGATGAACTCCTGGTAACATTCATTCTTAATAACAGTGATAAATGTACCAGTCTGCACTATGGAGATCATAGTCATTCCAAAAAAGGAACATTTTAAAACCATCCACTGGACTTTGTTTCCGAATTTAAAGACGTTTCTCTTCCATCTAGGAAGCTTTTTCAATTAAAAAAGTCAGAAATAGCGTTAAGTTCCAGGATTTATACAGCAGCCCAACAAAGCCTGGTTTTGGTTAGAAAACTTGCAAATTGGAACGGACAGACGGGTCAGTCTTCTTGCAGCAAGAAGGTTCTGGATTTAATTCCCAGCGCTGGGTCTTTCTGCATGGAGTTTGCATGTTCTCCCTGAGCATGTGTGGGTTCTCTCCGGGTACTCCGGCTTCCTCCCACAGTCCAAAAACATGACTGTTTGGTTGATTGGCTTCTCTAAATTGTCCGTAGGTGTGAGTGTGTGCCTGAATGGTTGTTTGTCCTGTTTGTCTCTGTGTTGCCCTGCGATGGACTGGCGACCTGTCCAGTCCAGTCCATACCCCGCCTCTCGCCCATTGACTGCTGGAGATAGGCACCAGCACCCCTCGCGACCCCACTCGGGACAAGCGTGTAAGAAAATGGATGGATGGACGGGTCCACCCCTTTGGTATGGACCGTCTGTCTGTTCCAGTTTCCAAGTTCTCAAAATATGCAAATTGGAATAGAGGTTTAAGGTTGCGATGGACTGTCGACCTGTCCAGGGTGGACCCCGCCTCTCGCCCGTAGACAGCAGGAGATAGGCACCCACAGTGTTGTGCCTGAACGCGTTCATTGAACGAAAGTTCATGAACTCGTTCATATTTTGGGCGAACGTGAACTGAACGTACTGCATTACTGCCTGATGAACGTTATTGTGAACTCGTTCATTCTGGTGTCTGTGAACGGCACGCTCTCTCAGTTCAACTCCGTTCAATATGTTGCCAGATTTCTATAGAGCCCTCCAGGCGAAACCCCGGCTAAATCACACCGTAAACAGGCCTTAATATGTAGCGGGAAAAACACCCAATCTGGCAACACCAGCTACCAGCGTCGTAGCCTACAGCCGCGTGCGTCATCCAAACAAAATGCAGCGTGGAAGCCGCAGCAGCATGGAGGCGACCGTGGAGGCGACAAAGCAGCAGCATGATCACTTAAAACAGGTTTATGACCAGGTGGTCGTGAGGATGATGGCAACAATCTTACATTTCTCTGCAAACTTTGCCCGCCGGCTTTCAGTAAAAAAATCCGCACTTCAGTAACCTTAAATTCCTACCTCAGCCTGGTCCCTCAGTTTGTGTTAGTAAAATGTTCTTGAGGGTTTTACTATTCATGTAACTTGTTTGTTAAACCTGCCTGGTATAATTTTCCAGGATTCCAGGATTCCTTTTTAGTATGTATTGAAATGGAATTTCAAATAGAAAAAATTATTAAAATTAAAAAAACATTTGCACCTTAAAGACTACTTTCCTGTTTTTCTTTTAATAATTCCTCATAAAAAAGACCATTCAAGCAGCACATTTTTCTTGATGTTTTTGAGAATATACTGTAGGGGTGAAAGCTGCAGCTGCTACTAGTGTGAAGTGATGGACAGCAACAAAGCCTTAAAGCAACAATGGGGAAATGCTGTCCCCTCAATGCTAATGTAAACCCTGGTTGGATAAGGATTCAAAACTGGATATGAAGATGAAATCTGACGCACAGTTTCAGTGTTACAACTGATAAAATAATTGCTGTCTGTGGTTCTACAGTAGGCTATGGTGTAATTGAGCAATATATGAAAAAAAAGAACTATGAACTAGTTCATTTTAAAATGTGTGAACTGAACTTTGAACTAGTTCATGTAGAAAGAGAACTTTCCCAACACTGCTCGCAACCCTAGCGATCCCACTTGGGATAAGCATGAAGGAAAATGGATGAATGGATGGATGGTTGAATCTATTACCAGGCAGACACTATAACTCTGCTTTGAGAACTCATCCAAAACTAACACTTTAATAAAAATGTTAGCCTACAAATAATATCTGCTCTGTGTTTCTCACAGTGTGGAAGGTCATAAAATCTCTAAATCAGTGGCGTCCAGATTCAGTCCTAAGGGCAGCTATCTAGGCTGCTCAGTTTAACAGTGGGTAGCTCTGCTGCCTTGCGGCAAGATGGATCCGGGTTCAATTCCCAGCGCTGGCTCTGTCTGCATGGAGTTTCCATGTTATCCATGTGCACGTGTGGGTTCTCTCCGGGTACTCAAGCTTCCTCCCACAGTCCTAAAACATGACTGTAGGGTTAATTTTCTAAATTCTCCTTAGGTCTGTGAAGGGTTGTTTGTCTCTCTGTTGCCCTGCGATAGACTGGCGCCCTGTCCAAGGTGGACCCCGCCTCTTGTTTGTAGACAGCTGGACCACCAGCATCCCTCGCGACCTCAACTGACAGAAAAAAAATGGATGGATGGGCTGCTATCTGCCATGATGAAATTTCATTTCAACAAAGAAAAACTGCAACTGAGGAACATCAAGGAACTAGTAGATTTAGTACAGTAATCAAGTACTCCCAAATTTACTTTGGGAAGTAGTGTGATGATGGTCAGAGTTCTTCTCATATGATTTTAAATGCCTTTCTTATTTAGTAGAAATAGTTTTAACTCACTGTCAGAAGAACTTTGTAACATAATGCGTTCCTGAAGCCTGATGCCACCCTTTATGATAAAGATGTGAAAATCATATTTTTACCACACAGATCAGCAGTCTGCATATTAATCCGATTTCCAACCAAATCAGGTGTTTTAATTAAACCTTTTGTTTTTTAATGAGTAGATGTCAGGCTCCCACCACAAATATTCTTTGTTTTATATACTGTAGTAAAATCAGCTTTAGGTTAGGAAGATGAATAAATGTTGTCTGAAATGTTACAACTAGAAACAATCTTTGTAGGTCAAACAGATTTAAAAAGCAGGAGTCCTGACCAATCAGCTTCCCTCTGTCCTCCAACCAGGTGAGCGTCTGGCACAGCTCTGACACAGAGGAACACATCAGCCACATGGTGGCGCCTCCTCAGTACATGCAGGTGGTCCACCATCCATCTATGATCAGCGACCTCTACCCCAACCATGCCTCAGGTAGGAAAACACATTCGTAAGATATTTGCACCAAACAAAGGTACACATTTCTTTTATTTTGATTAATTTATTTTATTATTCTTTAATAACCCATCCCCTTGGGGAGCAGTGGGCTGCTATTGTGTGGCGCACAGGGAGCAGTGTGGGGTTAAGGGTCTTACTCAGGGACCCAGAGTGGCAGTCTGTGGGAGTGACTAACTTAAACCATGATGCAATCTTCCAGGGTTCACCTCCATCACTTTAACCAAGCAAAATTGGGAACAAATGCTTTGATTGGATGAAAGAAAGCAGAGTGTGATTGGTTGATGTTGTGGTTCATATATACAGTGGGTCGATGGCAAGGCCAGTGGGTCGCCGAGGACAGTGAGTCAATTGCGAGCACAGTGGGTTTAATGCTTAGACAGTGGGTCAAGCGAGAGGACAATGGGTCGATGGCGAGGACTGCGGGTGGAGGCGAGCACAGCGAATGGAGGCGAGGACAGCGGGTTGATGGCGTCAACAGTGGGTCGAGCGAGAGGTCTATGTGTCAAGCGTGAGGTCAGTGTTTCGAGCGCGAGACCAGCTGATGGAACGCGAGACCAGCTGGTGGAGCGCGAGGACTGCGGGTGGAGCGCGAGGCCAGCGGGTGGAGCGCAAGGACTGCGGGTGGAGCGCGAAGACTGCGGGTGGAACGCAAGACCAGCTTGTGGAGCGCAAGACCAGCGGGTGGAACGCGAGGCCAGCTGGTGGAGCGCGAGGCCAGCTGGTGGAGCACGAGGACTGCGGGTGGAGCGCGAGGACTGCGGGTGGAGCGCGAGGACTGCGGGTTGAACGCGAGGCCAGCTGGTGGATCGCGAGGACTGCGGGTGGAGCGCGAGGACTGCGGGTGGAGCGCGAGGGCTGCGGGTGGAGCGCGAGGTCTGCGGGTGGAGGGCGAGGGCTGCGGGTGGAGCGCACGCTCCTGATATATAAACCCTGAATACCTGTCTCACCGCGTGCTCGGATTGGTGCCTGTGCACTCGAATCAGTGGCACAATCGTTGCGCCTCTTCCAGTGACAGATGGACTCAATGGCTTTAATGGCTTGTTTGTGGCAGTAACCATAGCGACAATGTATGTTAACGATGAAGCGCAGCTCGTATGCCCAAACCCTCGAGCTACTGCTTTATTAAAAGGCGCTGAGAAACTTGCAAATTGGCGCTGAGAACCTTCATCAGCAACAGCTGATGAAGGTTCTCATTCCGTAAAAATTCAAAAAATATCCACTGGACTTGGTTTTCAAGATTTGAAGACGTTTCGCCACCTCTCCAGGAAGCTTTCTCAATTCAAATGTCTGGATCCGCAGTGAGTTTGAGTCTTATATAGACAACGCCTTGTATCGCTTGGAAACATGCAATGGAAACCGATGAATGGGTCGTTAGTTCCATCGTTAGCCTGTAATATCTGAACCTGTCTTTGATTCTAGGGGTCGGTCGTTAAAGGGGGGATTGTCATTAAGGGGGGGATTGTCTCCTGTAATACCTGAAACCTGTCCATGATTGTTAAGGGTTGGTCGTTAAAGAGGTATTGTTCACCTTCCCAAAATGGAGTGCAATATGCTGATGAAGGTTCTCAGTCATCCAGGTCATAGTCATTCCGTAAAAATTCAAAAAATATCCACTGGACTTGGTTTTCAAGATTTGAAGACGTTTCGCCACCTCTCCAGGAAGCTTTCTCAATTTCTCAAAAAAGGTGAACAATACCTCTTTAACGACCAACCCTTAACAATCATGGACAGGTTTCAGGTATTACAGGAGACAATCCCCCCCTTAATGACAATCCCCCCTTTAACGACCGACCCCTAGAATCATAGACAGGTTCAGATATTACAGGCTAACGATGGAACTAACGGCCCATTCATCGGTTTCCATTTGCATGTTTCCAAGCGATACAAGGCGTTGTCTATATAAGACTCAAACTCACTGCGGATCCAGACATTTGAATTGAGAAAGCTTCCTGGAGAGGTGGCGAAACATCTTCAAATCTTGAAAACCAAGTCCAGTGGATATTTTTTGAATTTTTACGGAATATCAGCTGTTCAGTTTTTCAGGAGACTAAGTTCATCGCATACAATCAGTTTTTAGTTTATAAATCACAATTTAAACCTAAATAAATAAATACCTCCGAAATGATCTTGGTGTCATCAATGGTAGTAACAAATTGTCAATCATTTTCTTTTAAAGTCACGTTAGATTTTACTCTTGCTTGAGTTGTAAAAAGTATGTTTTTGTCAAAATGTTTTTGCTATTGTAATAAAGTAAATATAAGTAATTACTGCCCATGTCTATGGATGGAAACTAATTTAATTTTCATTTTTTTCTGACATTTTAAACTTAAATATTTATTGAGGAAATCATGCATGAGTGAATTTTCTTTGAAATGTTAGTTGAAGTAAATTCTTTTGTTTGGGGAAAAATGAACCTGATTGAAATGTGTTTTTTTAGACTCAGCGGCGAGTCGATGAAAAGAAAAAACGATCAGACAAAGTCAATAATACCTGAAATCATGACTGAAAAATGCAAAGCTTGAAAAATTAAGTTTAAAATTTCGCCAGATATCTGTCTCTGTGGTAAAAAAAAACACGGTGAGATCCAAGAGGGACGCTCAGTTCCTCTTTCTAAGCTTGTTTATGACTCGGCGGTACGTTCTCAACATGGCTCCTTCTCCTCCCTCTGAGCAAAGCAGCGATCCAACAGTGATGGGCAGTAGCGCCGCTACATGTAGCGAAGCTATTAGTTTAACTACATTTTCCAGTAGCTTGACCGTAGCGTCGCTGCTTTATTTATCAAGTAACTTTCCTGTAGCGACGTTATTGTTTTGATCAAGTAGCGACGTAGCGTCCACAAACGCTACAAAATCCAGGGCAAAACTAAGAAATGAAACCATACGTTCATTAAAAAAATCTCTCATTGTTTCACAGTGTCCAAATGTTCTCATCCCCTTGAAAACGGTTGTAAACCATATACTTGTAATATTTTTTTGCATCATAAAAGATGCTTATAAGCCAAAAATAAAAAAGATGGGGCCTTTTTTTGCCTGATTTAGACAGGGGGAACAGATTACAGCAGGTTTTATTTCATCCCATATTGCCAGTTCTGGCAATATGGGATGAAATACTACGCCAAGAGTGGCTACTGCGCCACTCTTATAAGTGGCGTAGTAGCACAGGCACACTCCGTAGGGTTAAACAAGCGCACCCTTTCCGAGGCTGTCGTTCTATTGGCTGGAAAGGTTGCTAGGCAACGATCCAACTGCAGTCTGGGAGAGCAAAACAAATCCGCAAGCAGAGCCTACGGGTTTGCGAACGTAACAGAGCGCGGTTTGTGCGCGAAGAGAAGGAGGCAAGCGAGAGGAGAAAATATCTGTGCAAGAAGCATTAAATCTGAGATAAGAAACAAAGATTTGAGAAAGAAGAGAAAATATTTGAGAGAGAGCGCATGTTTTGAGTGTGAGCATTATAAGTTTTGAGAGCAAGAAGATGAAATTCTTTTCCCTAATTGAAGTTATGTGCTCTTGCATTATGGCAGGATAATTCTCCCATATCTATGTGCCACTAAGATACTCTAATTAGAGAGCAGTAGTCAAACTTCGATATTGTATTTTCATGGCCTAGTTTACCTGACAGGATGTTTACATAAATCTGTTTTTAGGCTGTGCACAGATAAGATTTTTTATGGAGGAACAGCTCTACCGTATATAAAATAAATACATAAATAAATAAATGCTCAATAAATAAATAAATAAGCATTCAATTAATTGCCTCCAAAAATACAATGAATAAATATGTAGGTAGAAATTAAATTATATGGTGAGGCATAAATATATGTATCACTTAATTAGCTTCTTTATTTTTTCACCTTCTTTTGTAAACAGTTTTGTTTGTTACTTGAATCAACTGTTTAATTGAGGTCTTTTGTAGGGTTTTGTTTTCCCTAGAGATGTCCATTGAATGCAAACTCATAGCCATGTCTCCATGTGTAGAACACTACACAGTACCTTTAATTTGGTTCTTATAACAGCAGATTGTTTACTAGTTTGTCTACTATTAATTACTTTAGTTTTTATTTTAATATGCTGATCATAAAGCAATGTTTACACTGTGTTATGTCATTGGCTGATCTTTAATAAATATTTTAACCAGTGCATCAGACTCATTTTGAATTGACATTAGCTTGGTACAACGTTAAGTAGCTTCTGATGTAGTTAAGCTAATTTTAACACATTAGTGTAACTTAGCTTGCTATAATTCTAAAGGTGGTAGCTTTGGTGTAGTGAAGCTTAATTTATTGTTGAGTAACTGATAGCTTAGCTCACTACACTGGACAAGTAGCTTGCCCAACACTGCGATCCGACATACAAAGAGCAGAGGGTGGATGAGGGGAGCCGGTCTAAATCTACCACATGTGATTTAATTATTCATCAGAGTCTAATGGATTCTACTTAGAGTCCCGGCAAGTTCAGCGGCCGAGGCTGTTAATGGAGCAGAGGCCTGAGACGTGGAAGGAGGTCAGAGGAGCAGAGGACGCCGTTTGCAGCAAAACCTAAAGAACTAGAAGCTCAACAAATGCAGATCAACCGTTTGGCTCATGATCCTGCTGCAGTTGACTCCCCAGATCTTAAGCTTGACTAAATTTAGGAGGTGGCAATGTAAAGAATCTCTCAGAAGATCAAAGGGCCTGAATTTGGTGTAATAAAAATCTACAAACTAGAACGAACCGAGTGATCAGGCGAAGAGCTGAGGGAGCGGCGGTCTCATTAACCACAAGCTTCCACTCACCAGGAAGGACTGCTGGAGAGAGAAATCAGGAATCTCACAGACAGCTGGAGATCAGAGGCAACCCAATAAACAAGTTCAGCTCAGCAGCCATGCCTCAACGTGAGCTGGAGCATCCTCTACCTCTGGAGTCTTCCTTCATAGGACGTTAAATAATGCAGATTCAAACATGATTCATTCTTATTTTTAAGCAAATCCATGCACAACGCTCAGATTTAGCTACAACCTCTTCTCCCTGTTTTATTATTTGCTTTTTTTCTATAAAGATCCGCTCTGTTTTTAGCATAAATCATTTGCACAGAGATGTCTGTCAAATGATTGCATTAATATCAAACAGGCCAAGAAGGGAACATCTCAGTGTTTATGCAGGCTGCTCGGCATCTTCAATTATGTTGCTCTTCCCTAAAGAACTGAACTGTGTTTTACGTACCTGGGAAATTTTTTGTTGCATTCATTTCATGAACTTTAATGTTTTTTTATTTGGTGATTTTTGAAAAGACGTGTTTCTATCAATGTTTTTATGCACATTTGAGGCTCATTAGAAGCAAAATTCGAATAATTGAATAAATTCAACTAAAAGTTTCAGTTTAAAATTCTTTTTTTTTTTGCATTTGCAAAACTTTTTTCATTCAGTTTCAATTGGGGGGGTGCAAATCTTTTTCAGGATCATTTTTTTATTTTTTTAAGGCAAGTCGAGTTCATTCATATCCCGCAATTCAGTGCAAAGACAATTCAAAGTGCTTTAGGTGAAAGGTATTGTGGAGAATTCTTGAGATTATTTTACACGACCCACCCTCTCCACTCTAAGAAAACAAAAAATGCGAGTCCAAGAGCCGATTTCTCCTCGTGCACGTTCTGTTTAAAAGTTGCTGTTCTCATAGCTTATAAGAGCTTACTGTGTCCGAGCGACCGCCCTAACTCCTAAATCCCTCAATCACTATATAGAGCAGCGACTATATTTTGGACTTTATAGCAAACTCAGTTAACTGACCATTCAGACAGATGATCACTGCTTTTTGCTCTGTTGGTCAAGTAACTCCTTCTCCACTGCGCAGTGCCTGCGCTGTCATGATTTTATTCAAAGATCTGACTCGAATGCAGAAAACCAAACAGAGAGACCAAGGGAAGGTTTAACAGGTTTGTTGAGAACTGGTAGAGAAGGGTCGAGTGCTCCTCTGAACACTGGCGAACCAGGACTGAAAAGTGAAGGGGAAGTTCCAGTGGTTAGTTCAGGCTCAGTGGGAAAATTTGAGCTTCAATTTGCAAAAGGGAATAAAGGCAACAGGACTCACTTTTCCAGAAAAGGTGTCTTTCTCTGAATCCAGTCGGTGTGGGTTGTTCTAGTAATAGACTTGCTCGTTGGAGGGCGGACAGGGTTTACCCAGGTTGAGGTGTTTCTTAGAGAAGCTGGCTGCCACTTAGATTTCCAATGGTACTCGATTGGTTTCTTGTGGAGATGAATCCCCTGCTCAGTGAGAAGCTCAAACAATCCTTTGGGGAAAAGTAGATCCAAACCTCCAGTTTGAATCCCCAGCTCAGTTGAAGCTCAGTCTATCCTTCCAGGGGGAGAAGGTCCAAAACATCCAGTTAGGAGGATGACAAACAAAAACAACAAGGTTAAAACTCAGGTTGACAAAACTCAGTTTGACTCAGCTAAACTCAGCTTGGCTAGAGTACCCAAAACTGGCAAACACTCTGGCGTCGAGGTAGTGGCAGTCAGCAGCTTAAGAATCCCCCGGTAATGAGGCAACCATCCCCAGGTGTGTGAGAGGGCCAACGAGAACAGGCGCCACCTGGTGGTGGAGGGAGAACATACAAAAACACAACCCACACAAACTGGATTCCTAACATGCGCCATCTTTGTTATTAGTCGCCGCTGTCGGGTAGCGACAGAATACTGGTGTGACAGCAAATCCCATAATGCTTTGCTAGGAGAGCTCTCCGTGCAAAGCATTCTGGGATATATCTTCCTCTCTCTTAGGCCTTCCTTTTCTTCTGATACACTTCATAGACACCTTTTCTCTAACGACCCCTCGGCCATTTCCCAAGAACCGCGGTGAGAAAGGTAAGCTTCAATCACTGTCTGAAACCGTAGCTCACTACGGATATACGCCTGAAAGTGCGCATGCGCAAAAAATGATGGATAACGGGACGAGCACGTACGACGGCCTTACGTAAACGTATCACCAGAATGATTGACAGTTAGGAGGACCACTTATTTAGATGATCCACCCGGAAATAAAAGATTGTCCTCTGTCCCTTTAATTACACAATAAAATAGCACAAAATAAAAGCAGAATAAAAAGCAAGTCAAGATGAAAACATGATAATGCTAAGGAGGAACTAGCAGCTTCCTGGAAATGGAGTAGAGTGAAAGTTCAAGTACTCCCCCAAAAATTGACTAATAAAAAGTAAAGATACTCAAAAAGTACTTAGTTACTGTAATCAAATAAATATATTTTTGGAAGTAGTGTGATGATGGCCAGGCATGTTTTTATCAAAGGCCAAACTTCTTTTCATATAATTAAAAATGCCTTTCTTAGTAGAAACAGTCTTCACTGACTGTCGGAAGAACGATGTAACAACGCATTCCAGAAGCCGCCCTTTATGCGAAAAACGTGAAAATCCTTTAGTTACCTCACAGATCAACAATTTACAATCATATTTCTGTGCATCAAAATCAGGCATTTTTTTAGGCTCCCACCACACATTTTCTTTTGTATTATATTTTAAAATCTGCTTTACGTTAGGAAGATGAATAAAAATGTGCCTGAAATGTTACAACTTTAATAGCGACAAGCATTAAGAAGTCTTATTTTTATGATGTTAGCCAATGGAGATGCGTATGATCAAAACAGCGGGCTAGGAGACCAAGGATGGAAGAGAATGAGTTGGTTGCAGATGGACACGTTTAGGGGGGGAGGGATTCCTTTTTTCCCACGTTTTAGACACAAAAAGGCTTAAACGTGTATCTAAAGCATTCATCACTGCAGCAGGCCATCTGCATGATGGCTACCAGCGTTTCGTCTAACTAGTCAACAACAGTTTGTGTTCCTGGCTGGTTCAGTTTTGGTTTGGCTGGAAGAAATTAGAAACAATCTTTTTAGGTCAAACAGGTTTAAAAACCAGGAGTCCTGACCAATCGGCTTCCCTCTGTCCTCCAATCTAAAGTAGCAGGACAGAAGCTAAATTGCTGGTTGACAAAACCAACCAACCAACCAACCTCCTCCGGTTTCTCTCATGTGTTCCTCAGGCGTACCGAGTGCAGCCACTGTGGTGATCGTCATGTGCATCGCCGCCCTGGTGGCGGTGGTGGTGCTGGGAATATACCGCATCCACGTAACCCACCAGCAGGAGGTGAGGCAGGAAGAGACGGCCAAAGAGGCAGACGCAAACTGGGACCACTCGGCTCTGACGATCACTGTCAACCCCATGGAGGTAAGAGGAGGTGGTTTGAATGTCTGCAGAGCAAAGAAGAGTCTCTGCTGCTAAAGTTCTCAGTTAGTTCAAAGTAGTGAGGGTGAGATGAAGCCTCATGAGGCATTGAACCGTTTGGGCTAATTGCTTCAACGATCCCCACAGTTCATGATGTGAACATGTCACCCCCCCTACTGGTGGATTTCATAACTACAGTTAGTAATATAATCTGTGATTTTTTTGCAGTTGTTTTTCTTGTTTTTTTCTCAATTTAGGTTCTCTTATTAATGATTGGTGTGTATAATTAAATCCTTTTTAAGGTTTTTTATGAGTAAAAGGTCTTTGAAGACACAATGGGGATTTACCATTAGGCAATACTAGGCAGTGGCCTAGGGCCCCAAGTTCCTGGGGGGCCTATAAAACTTTACATGTATGGTTAATACAACAATTCCTTATTTGTGCACCTTAATTATGTTTTTCTTTCGCTAAAACACCATCAGAAAGCTTATAATATTAAGTGTGTCTCAGCCCCCCCTTCAGTGTCCACCATATTGGATCAGTCCATTTGCTGCACATGTTCAGAAAGGTCCAAACAGACCATTTGAAAACAAACGATGCAAAGAGCAGTGTTGCCAACTTAGCGCTTTAGTCGCTATATTTAGCCACTTTTCAGACCCCTCTAGCACTTTGATTTCTAAAAAGCTCCTAGCGCCAAATCTAGAGACTTTTTTTCTGCTACTGGAGACTTTGGAGACAACATCTAAAAGCAGCGAACTCTGCTCTCCAGAGCGAGTAGATTGGTAACCCCGCCTCCTGCTCTCCTCTATCTTGTCTGCTGTCATGATTCATGCAGCTATTATTTCATCCAAATGAAAAATGGAGAACAGATAAGCAGATCATGGCTTGTCTACAGTGAAAAGAAGGACTGGGTTATTTACTTTGGCCTTTTTGGAAACACAGGAAGGAGCAATCAGCTAAGTGAGCTTAGTGCTTGGAAAAAATCTTTCATTCCTTTAGAGACAGCATGAAAAGTCAGCTGAGTACAAAACATAGAGAGGAAAACAAGAAGAAAAGGGACAAGAAGAGAGGGACACAACCTAGAACAGATAATGGATGTCTATTCTATTAACATTTCTCTATCTGGAGAATGGGGCTGTCTTTGCCTAAGGCCCCAAATTTCCTAAATCCGCCCCTGGTAGAGAATAATGTTTTAAGCACTGTTTTTCTCTAATTTTAGTGGAGTATGTTCAAGTAGACAGTGAAAGTCTGCTTGAGATTCTTCAATTCAGTTTATTTCTTTAGCGCCAATTCACAACACGTCATCTGAAGGCACTTTCCAGTTCACCAGATCATCCAGTCAAATTAATTCAAAGTTTTCTGTCAAAGTAAAACCAGTCCTTCACATTAAGCATGCTTGTAGCGACAGTGGAGAGGAAAAACTCCCTTTTAAGAGGAAGAAACCTCCAGCAGAACCAGGCTCAGTGTGAGCGGCCATCTGCTGAGGCCGACTGGGGTTCATTTTCACTGTTATGCTAACGATACCCAGCTATATCTGTCTATAAATCCAGATGAAGCTTATCTGTTACATAGATTACAGGCATGTCTTAACGACATAAAAACCTGGATGACTCTTAACTTTCTGCTCCTGAATGCAGATAAAACAGGAGTTATAGTCTTTGAAAAAGAAGCTGATTAGTCAATCAATTCATTTGGATGGGATTAAACTGATTTTAGATAATAAAGTAAAAAATCTTGATGTTATTTTTGAGCAAGACTTCAGCATTTCTCTCTCAGTAAACAAACATCCACACCGAAGAGTGTTGTTGTCACTGGTGCCACTTGGCTAAGGTAAACAGACTCTGGACAAAGCAAACAAAGCCAGTTGGCTTCAGCGGATTTCTTGTTGCATCTCTGCTGCAAATATCTGTATTTACCAGATTTGTTTTTGCTTTGGTTGAAATTATTCTCAACTTCTAAACTAAACTGTCATCCTTTTTGGTAAAGGGATTGATGAGAAAATAAAATCTATAAATGAACAATAAGAATAACAAATGGGGCTCTAATTCTCCTGTGTTTTTATACATGCGCACAGCTAATACCTGGTAATGTCTCTAAAAGAACAATAAATAAAACAAGACTTGATAAAAATGTTAAGAAAAGTCTTTTGATCAAAACCCAACTGCCTGATTGGACGTTGGCATGCTGTCGTGATGCATGCAAGCGTGCCACAACAGTTTGGCAGACCTTCTCTTGGCTGGTATTAAAGTACTCCTCATGTTTGTTTTGGGACACAGAAGAGAGTCATTAATCCACTAAATGTAAGACTCAATCACGTTTCAGCGACTACCACGCAGAGAACTGGCACCGCTAACTGCTCCCATCGGGACACGTTTTATAATCACCACATTACCTGCTTTGCTCTCAAAAGTACATCAGTGTGACAAATACAGCCGAAGGCAGCTATTTACATACGCTGTTTCAAAAGGCAGGTGAACTTTAAATCAGACTAAACTGTTATTATTTTAGGTCATTTAATGTTAGCCCGGTTATTTCTGTTTGCTAAATAACTAAATAAGGAAATCCCAGAATATGTGTGACGCAACATCTCAGGTACGCTGGTTCCTTGAGCCAAATCATGAAATGAAATAAAGCAACAAAAACAAAGATAACAATAAATATTTGGGCACATTTGCAATGAGCAATTATGTCATTTTTTACAGACTTACTGTTGGATGAAAGCCATGGATTCAAGGCGCTTATTGCTTATTGGTTACCCTAGGGCTGGGCGATATAGAAAAAAAGCTTATCGATAAAAAAAAAATGCATATTGATCGATATCGATAATTATTGAAAAGATTTGAAACCATATTTTATGTGCAGCTCTGCCTGGACTTTTTATAATATTGCTAAATGATTTCATTTTAATAAAGAACACAAACACAGACTTCCAATTAAATATTTATTTAACCAACTTTTTTAACCATAACAGAATTGAAAAATAACTTAAGAGACCTGAATTATGTTATTAAATACTGACAAAGAATAAACTAAAGTGACCAGAAAAGTGACCAAAATGAATATAACAAATAAATGCAAATAAATGAACCTGGTTCAGCTTAGTTTCCTGCTTTAACCTGAGTTATTACTTTGAAGTTTCTGGCCCCTCAGCATTTTTATCTCAATTGTTAGAACTACGTGGGAAACTGCCCAGAACTGAAAATATATATATATATATTTTCCCCCAAATTCCCGAAGATTCCTCGGAGGAGAGCCGCGTCGGGGCCTACACAGCTCGTACTCCTGCGGGTGTGAGCCGCCGAGATGATAAAAAAAAAGTTGGTTGTGTTATCAGACTTCGTTTTCACTGGTTCCCGACACATTTTCCAGATGACTGTGGTTTGTTTTTGGTCCGACTTGCCATGACCGAAGTACTGCCAGACTGCCGAACTACAAAAACCTTTCTTTGGAACAATTTCCTCCGCCTCTCCTTGCTGCGACATCTTCATGTGACATCTGGGTCTGCGATTGTGATTGGTTGGGAGGAAGCAGTGACTAGCATAAACCTACATGCTAGGCTACAATGAGAAGGAAGGAAAACTGCGTTTCTTTTTTATCGAACTTTTATCGACTCTCTTTTTTTCTATTGCGCCACACGTCTATCGATCGATATATATCGTTATTGAATTATCGCCCAGCCCTAGGTTACCCACATATGGCAATGAAATAAAGAAAAATAAGTTATTTATTGTCAATTACATTGTAATTGAGATTTCAGTTTCACCACAAACCGTTCATCAGATTCATTGGGTCGGGGGACTGATTTACTGAGGCTATGCCTGCCGCAGAATGCTGCTGTTGGCGCGTGTCAGGTTTATTCAATGATAATTATAAAGTTAATGTGTGTACATATGGAAAATTGAAGAAATGAGATGCTTCACTCTGTTTACTGCAAACTGTCATGCAACGGTGGTAGAAAATTGCTGATGTTTGTGCAAGGCTAATCACAGTTATCGGGAGACCGCTCTATTCTGTGATTCAATCAGAGGAGCATTTTGTCCTATGATCTGATCATTTGCCTTGTCAGAAGAACGCTCTATTTTCTAACCCACCCCATGTGTTATAATCTGCAAATTAGGGCTGCAACAACGAATCGATAAAATCGATAAAAATCGACTTTTAAAAGCGTTGGCAACGAATTTCATCATCGATTAGATGTGCCGCGCGATTAATGCGTCATCCGCCACCGTCATCACTGCAACTTGACTGAAACGGGGGAAGAAGAAAAAATTATGGCAGAGCGAGCCAGCGCTGCAGGTGCGCAGTGTTGCCAACTCAGCGACTTTGTCGCTATATTTAGCGACTTTTCAGACCCCTCCAGCGACTATTTAAAAAAAAAAAAGCGACTAGCGACAAATCTGGCGACTTTTTACGGTGTTACTGGCGGCTTTTGGAGACTCTTACGTGAAAGCACGTATCGTTCCTACTCTTGTCCTGCAGCAGCAGCTGCTGCCGTGAGGCGCCTCCCCCATCCCAACCCGTTCTCCCGCAGGAGTCCCTCTCAGCGCTGCAGTCAGAGCCGCAGGATATTTCAGCGTCCAGACTGCAAATGAAGCACGCATGCGCCGGGATTGACGGCGCAAATTGATCACAATAATTAAAATAGCCTTTATAAATAAATTAACTTGCAAATTATGAGGGCAAGGCTTTTAAAGTTTAAATCTTCTGGCAAAGATAAAGTAAAGAAGATCCTGCAATTTATGGAAGTAAAGCAGAATAAAATCCAGCAAGATCAGTAATATGTCAATTAATTATCTGCCACATTCCCATGTAAATATCTGTCTTTGGAGGATGTGTTTTTTAGCACCCCTAGTTCTCTCATTTTTATTCCAAATTTATTTATAATTTGAATCACAGGGCTATTTTTATCTCTATGGTTCAGTATTTTCTCAAGTAGCAACTTTAACTGCTGTACTTTCCTGTCTTAAAAGGCAGAACTCTTCTAGTCTAAAAAAACCTCATTTGTTGAAATGGGGGGGCCTATTGTTTGAACCCCTTAGAGGCTTTTAAAAACTAAAATGTCTTTTTTTGCGCTTTATGAAACAAAGTACCCTATATTTTGTGGATGTACAGCTACATTTCTCATGTAAGTTTGTGTAGTTTTAACACAAACATTTATTTTTCATATTGCACCAGTACAGTTAATGAGCAACCTGTACTTGTGTGTTTGTTTGTTCCGTCTAAAATGTTTATTTTGGAATAAAGAGGTTAATATAAAAAATATTTTTTGTCCGATTCATCGATTAATCGAAAAAATAATCGGCCAATTCATCGATTTTTAAAATAATCGTTAGTTGCAGCCCTACTGCAAATAAAAGGGCTGTGCAGAGGAAGTCAGTCAGAGAGTAGATGTAGCTGAATGTAGCTCTCTCCTTCTGCAGAAGCCGTTAAAAAATCCCTATTCTGTGTGGACTCAGTTCCTCTTTTATGAACCTACATTTTTGAACCCAACAGCGCGTCCTTATAGCCCCACTGTGAGGCGGTTCCCTATAGCGCTGCCTTTATCTCTGTAGAAAGATAGGAGCCACATTGGGGACGGACTCTACCCTTTTGAGCATTAGCTGTGTGTGTGTATGATGAAATGGATTCAATTTGTCCATAAACGTTGTCCACAGGCCATTGTCCTTATATTATTGATATTATCCCATCTCACCTTTGAGTTCAACCACCGCAGCCAGCCTGCGCTCAATCGCACCCAGCATACAGCTCAGCTCACGGTCCTGCTTGTTCACAGCCTTTGTGAGGGCGTCAACCACTGCCGGCAGCCTGATCAATGCCCAAATTGCTGCCGACATCCTCTGTAGTTTAGATACATCAGGTTTCCGAGATCAGGTATGCGAAAATCAATACATCTTTGATATCCTCCACTGATAACATTGTAAAACACACCATCCTCCAAGCCTTCCAGGAGTCCATGGTGTATCCCACGACGTATGTCCCGGCAGGACAAGATGGCTCCCCTTTTCCCTGTCTTCCTGTTGAGAAAATTTGAGAGACCAGCTGACCAGATCCATTGTTTGAATTCGGGTGATATGAAGAGAGAGCTCAGAAAGACAGTCAGACTTTGAGAGTCAGAACTGAAGAGCAAATCCACGCATAAAAAAAATTATTGATCAATTTGTTTGTAATAATGGAACAACAGCACGGATACCATGCAACCAAGGTTCACTGTCATCAAGGCAGAGTGAGCTTGCTAAAGTTAAGACTTGCATCGGTCAACTCCGCTACTTCCTGAACTTAAAGCTGTACTTTTGTTTCCTGTCTTTTACTACTGGCTGACTGATTAATCCAGGTGTGCCTGACCTCAGTAACCATGGTTAGATGCACCTGGATTAATCAGTTCAGCCAGTAATGAACGACAGGAAACATGATGGCTGCCTTAAGTTCAGGAAGTAGTGGAGTTGTCCAGAGAGCCCATCGGCTAATGATCGGCTATGACCACCACAGCGGTAGAGGGAACAGGTTGCTGGTGCTAGCTTAGCAGGGGAGCTGAGGAGTATAGCGGTAGATCGGAGAATCCTGCCAAGCAAACAGCTCTGAAGGCAGGGAAGAGGCTTCCATTGGCCTGGGCCTAAGCCCTGCATAGGTTTGATTTTTCAAAACTGTATTCACCCGCAGACATAGAGTTCAGACCCAAGAGCCGACCTTTACCTGCATTTATTTTATAATTATTTCATTAAATTATTTAAAACTCGATCCCAATTCACAACATATGTCATCTCAAGGCCCTTAAAATTCAACCAGATCATCCAATCACACTGGTTCAAAGTTTTCCAAGGAAGAGCAGCTGGTTTTTAAACACATATACCTCGTTTTCACATATATGTGAGAAAACTCTCTATGACCCTTTTCCCACTGGCTGAAAACCCCCATTAAAACCCATTAAAACCAGGAACAATCAGCTTTTATTGGCAGAGGGAACAGCTCAGTAATGCACATCTACCTGGGTCAAACGAATCTGCAAGCGACAGCGTTAAAAATCGCCTCCGTTAGACCAGCCATTTTTGCCAGTGGGAAGGGAGCCAAATGCTAATTGTTAGCGCATCAACCCATGTTTGAAAAACGCACATTAATGCTCTACGTTCAGAGGAAAAGAAGCTTATGAAAACCTGAACCTTTTGCCCTTTTAGACCCTGTTATCCACTCTTGAGATATCCTCCTAAGTCTACTTATAAATTGAGCAAAAACAAAGATATTCTCATGGTTAAGTGGAGGTTTTTGAGGACCCAAATGCGGAGATGAGGCAGAGTTGACTTTGTAGATTAATCAAGTTTTTTTCAGGAAACTGAGGCAAAAAATTTTTAAAATAAACTGAAAACCAAAATCTAGGACAACTAGGAGCCAGGAAACGATGGAGCAACAAAACAACGAGAAACCAGGAAACAGTGACTGAACATGAGGCTGGCTAATCAGAACATGACCTGGCTAATCAGCAGATTGGGAGCAGGTGGGGACAGCGGAGTCTAGAAGGGAGCTAGGGAAAAGGAGACTGCCACAAGAGGGCAGCAGAGGGCAAAAAAGAAATGACTAAGAACTCAAATACAATAAAAAATAACTGGAACAACACAACATTGAAATTAAACCAGTAAACTAGAAAACACAGAAAGACATGAATCAAAGAATATCTGAAAACTCAAAAAAGAAAACTTAAACAGAACCAAAAAGTGCAGAGTCATGACGGGTAGAATAAATAATAAGCCACCAGGGCGCCATGATTCAACCAGAAAGCCTTTCTATTCAACATTAATGAGCTACCAGCACATGCATTTATAGTCATTTAACTAAACCAATGACAAAATGTGTGTAACAATTTTATCTAAGATGTTCTTTTATGGAGTTATTATTCTGTTTTTATGAAATTTATGCAAAAAAAAGGTGTTCTGAAAGGGGAAAATAATTTTTCAAGTAAAATAAATGTACTGGTGAGAACAAATTTTCACAGTAAAAACTGATGTTATTTCCAACATCAATGAGAAAAAGTACTAAAATACTTTCTCATAGAATAAATAAAGGCTAAATTGACATTTGAAAAATTGATTTGAAAGGAAAAAAGTTCTCTCAAAAAATACTTTTTTTTTTTAAATCAGAGTGAAAACACTTTCTCTCAAAAATAGTTTACTATCTCCAAACTATATGGAGAACTGTTTTTGTTGTGTTTTGGTGAAATGTAAATAATTTTATTCACCCTAGCTCAGATCTAAAAGTAAAAGCTTCCTCTGATTTAATTTAGATTTTTAGATTTGAGAAAAAAATGATGTTTTGTGTCTTTTCATCACTTAATGCAGAACCTGGAAAACCGCAACACAGGGGAGGAGGAGGCCTGCGAGGAGGAGGAGGAGGAAGAGGAGGAAGAGGAGGAGGAAGATGATGAGGATGACGATGAGGAAGAGGTCACTAGCGATGATTCAGATGACAGCGAGGAGGAAGTGGACGTCCAATTACCCAGGATTCAACGCTCGAGCGAGAAGCCCCAAAGATGGGACAAAACAACAATATGCTATTAAAAAACACACACATTCCCACACACACTACCCCCCCCCCCCAACACACACACATCTGCAACACATCTTCAATGAGATCTCACATCAGACAGCAGCAAATAACAACAAAAACGGACTTTAAAAGATGACATATTGTTGCCCCCTGGTGGCAGTTTAAAGAAATTACACCCAATCAGAGAAATTATTGTCATTCCTGGAGGGAAAATACCTCCACTGCGTTTCTACAGCGTTCAGTGAGAACAGGTTGTATAAACCCACCATTTTTCAAATCGATCCACAAATTTCACAGTGAGATTTCTAATTTACCCCAAATAAAAAAAAAAATGCAAAACAGCCTTTATTTAAGATGAAAAAAAAACAAAAGAAAATGAGACTATTTTTGGTTTGTATACTTATTATTTATCTGTCTTTATTCTAAGCCTGTACGGCTAAGCCAGGTGATTTTACAGAAAAAAAAAAACATATTTTAAATGGTATTTAAAAAAAATTGCAGAAAAAAAAAAGATCAATGTTCTGTTTCAGATGTCATGTCGAATTAGCAGCCAGGTCAACTTTCTGGGTTGCTTTCGTTGGGAATGGAAGAGGAGTCCTTGTACATTTTTATACGCTCCCTTCTTGTAAATATCAAGTGTCGTAGGTGACCCCCCCCACCCCCATCCCTACCTTTATCACCATCCCCTCCTCTCTTCACATCTACACAGCACACCTCTTCATACTAAAAAAACTCTGATCCCTCAGTCTGCTAAACACAACCCACGTCTTCATCATTTTCCACCAGAACGGTTTCACCTTTTTACTGCTCCGAGCTGGAAATCTGGAGAGAAAGCAGCAACAACTCAGAGGTTCACTGGAAAAAATCTAAATCTAGATAAGTCATTTTTTTTCTTAAAATAAGTGCATTTGTTCTTGGATTGAGGAGATAAAAGAGACATTTTACCAATGGAACGAGACAATTTACACTTAAAATAAGAAAACAAAATTGCATTGTCTTATTTCAAGTGCATATTATCTATTTATCTTATTTTAAGAGTAAAATTACTGATTCCCTTTGCTAACCATCTCTTTTACCTACTCAAATTAATGGTAAATACACTTAATTTAGTATTTTTTTTTACTTACTTCTAGATCGTTTTTCCAGTGTTTTCCTTTTAATCTGTTTAATTGAGGACAAAAACATAAAAAATTTTGGAATAAGAAAAGTTATTGAATATACCGGTGAAGGTTGTCAATCATCCAGCTCATAGTCTTTCCAAAAAGGTAAAAAAACAATCCACTGGACTTTGTTTCATTTCAATTCTATTCAGTTTATTTCTATAGCGCCAATTCACAACACATACACTGGAAAAAATGGAAATCTAGATAAGTAATTTTATTCCTAAAATAAGTGCATTCTTTCTTGAATTGAGGAGGTAAGTGAAACACTTTGCCAATGGAACACGACAATTTACGTTCAAAAGAAGAAAAATACAATTTAATTGTCTTATATGAAGTGTATATTATCTGATTACCTTATTTTAAGTGTAAAAATCCTAATTCTATTGGCAAATTGTCTCTTTTACCTACTCAAATTAAGGGGAAATATACTTAATTTAAGATATTTTGACTTATTTCTAGATCGTTTTTGCAGTGTATCATCTCAGGTCACTTTCCAGTTTACCAGATCATCCAGTGAGATTGATTCAAAGTTTTCTATCTAAGAAAAACCAGTTAAAGGCAATCCCTCACACTAAGCATGCTTGTAGCGACAGTGGAGAGGAAAAACTCCCTTTTAACAGGAAGAAACCTCCAGCAGAACCATCTGAGCGGCCATCTGCTGAGGCCCACTGGGGTTCAAGGAGAAAGAAGCAGGTATAAAGAAATATACATAAAGAGGCAGACATTTCCAAGTTTGAAGAACTTTCAAAATGTCAGAAATAGTGTTGAGTTTGAGGCTTTATAGAGTGGACCAAAAACAAAGCCTTGTTTTGGTTTAGAAAACATGCAAATTGAACTTGACGAATGAGTCCAGTCATTTGGAACGGGGGTCGTTCAGGTTCCTTGTTAGTAGTTGATAGTGCTGGACTAACAAAAAGAATGCAGCCATTTTTTGCATTTACTTAATCATATTTAGTTACTTTACCACAATTGTTCTTCTTAGCAGGGAATGACATAAAACAATTGTGTTAATGTAACTAAATGTGATTAAGTAAATGCAAAAAATGGATGCATTCTTTTTTTTCAGTGTATCCTCTTCATGCTGTCTCAATGTCAGCCATAGGTAAGAGGGGAACTCTGAACTGCAGATTAAATACATTTTCATTTCAATGCTTATGGTTTATAAAAACTTCAAGCTCTAAACACTTTGTCCAATTAATCAGCTCAGAGAGTAAATTAATTACATAAAAGCGACACTAAATGATTCAAACTTGATATTTTTAGTCATGTTAAACACATTTACCAGAGAGGTGGAGCTTGAAAAGCTTAGCAGCTAAGAAACAAGTTCAGGTTTACTGTTATTTGTTATCTAACCCATTAATGAATTTTAAAAAGTGTCCAGTGGAGTCGGAGTGACGTCCTGTCGTGCACAGCTCTCATTTTTTTTTTACCGAAAGAGTTCTCCTCAAACTGCAAAAGTTCAAAACAAAGGAAAACAAAAAAAAGTTTTTTACTGAAGCTCAAATAAAAATGAAGTTTCCCTCCAAAATTTTACTAAAGATCTTTTGCTTTTGCTAAAAACATCGACACTGGGAACATTTAAAAAAAAAAGAATTTTAGACACATTATGGTGGAAAAACCTTGGGTTTGTTTAAGTGGACGTGCTGCAGCCTCTGCAGGTATCAGATCAGAAAACACATTTGTTCAATGGTCAGGAAAGCAGCGAGGATAAAACAAGATTTAACTTTCCCTAAACAAAACTTTAAAACCTTAAAATGCACCAAGTTGAATTCTGCTGACAGTTTTGACTCCAACTGTTTCTGAGCTGAACATTTGCAGCTCTAGTCTGACACCTGGTGACCAAATAATAAACTGTCCAATACAAAAAAATTATTTCACTCCACATTTCTGTCCCAGAAACTGCATTAAATTAATTAAAACAGCTTTAAAACTCTTTCAGAATTTGAATTATATTTAAAATGTAAAACTAAATAAATTGCTCTATTTATCGTACATTTACTTAATTATCTAGACATGGTCAAAAATCCTTTAGAGTGTCGATTTACAAAGTGTGGAGATCCTAAACATTATCACTATGAGGCATATTTATGTGCTTAGAGCTATAAAAACACCAATAAGAGATACTGATTTTTAAAAATTTATTTTATTTCAGTTTAATTAAGGGGAAAAAAAGTCAGAATCCCGACTTTAACCTCAGAATTCTGACTTTAATCTCATATTTCTGACTTTAATCTGATAATTCCAACTTTAACCCTCTGAAATAATATTAAAAATCAGTTAAAAATTTATATTTTATTCAGTGGCTCTAATTCCCCTCCATACAGAACCAAATAAATTGGTTCTTGCTGTTTTATTACTATCATATCAATGGTTAATGGATGTTTTAGAAATATTTTTATTTGGGTAGGAGTCCATTCTAATAAGTTTTTCTGGTTCAGAGCCATAAAGTTTGGGATCCTCTGCTTTAAAGGGAACTTATTCAAACAGATTCCTGCAGTTTTCTTACGGTTTAATTGGCACAAATATTTAGAGTCGGCCTGAAAATACCCAAAGATGTCATCCAGGTAATCCGTCAGTCTGGCCTTGATGAGCTGCAGTAAAAGCTTTGCTGTTTCATAACCTTTAAACATCAGCAGCATAAAAATCTAAAGTCCTGCTTCCCTTCCAGAGACTTTATAGCCTTCAGAGCTGCAAGCGTCCCTTTCAGAGCCCAGCACTTAGGATGGGGGGGGGGATTATGTCTAGAGCTGCAGGGCTACATAAATCCCATTTCATTTGCCTCCTCTTAAATCCACCAAATGGAGAATCTACCAGGTGCAGCTCTAGGAAAAGTGGAAACGAAATGAATAAATCAGATATTTCAGTTGGTCAGAGACCTCAGATGGGGGTCGTTTCACATCCAAGTGAAAAAGGGCATTACTCTTTGACCGCGGACCTCCTGTCCGTCTGAACCGACTGATAACAGAGACACCAGAGAACCGTCAGACTAACCTTTGCAGATTGAACCGGTCGATCCGACTCAGCGGCTCTCTCCGTATATTTTGGCCAATGACTGTATGTGTGCCGTAGGCTCTATTGTGTGTCCATGTAAAGCGCTCATATGATGTTTAGGAGTTCTCCTCATCGGCCTTGACCCCCCCCCCCCCTGGTCTTGTGATGTCACCCCCACACCCCCACTTGAAACTTTGGTGGTTTCTGCATCGCCCCGAGCCCCGGTGTTGTCCTGACGTTTGTTTTAGAAGAGGACGTTGGAATTAACATTGAAATCTTGTATAACGTGTACATTTGATTTTTCTTTTTTTGGACTCTATGTTCTGTTTATTTTCCTTTGGAATGGTCACTACAGCACTTTCTGTAAATTGGCCAATAATAAAAACTTGTTTTTGAATCAGGCTGTGGGAGCTATAGTTCTTGCGTGTGTGTGACCGTCTTTATAAAGTGTCCCTGGAGAACAACGTTACTTTACTGAATGCATCTGATTAACTACACCACAAAAAAATTATCTAGAATAAGTTGATATTTCTTGTATTTCACCTTAAGCCCATGTCGCACCTTTTAAATTTATCTAGCGTATGCCTGACGTCCCAGAACCTCCTGAAACGCTGGCATACACTGAACTTTCTATGTATTTTTTAATAGATTTATAACAAGTCCAGAACATCTGTCCAAATACAGCCTAACTTATGCGTAAAGCACGGCAGCGTAACGGCCATGAAATGATGCACAGGCAGGTGTCCTGGGGGGGCAGCGAGGGTTGGATCATGGTATTGACCTAGGTGCTGTTTACTGCCCACCAAATAGGGGTGTAAATAATAATCGTTTTTTGAGCATAATTTTTGAATTATGCTCAGTATTTGACCGATTCTTGACCTTGCTTGACCGATCCTGGACAAGCCCCCAACGGGAGTGGCAGTCTAGTGGTTAGGGCATAGGGCTTTGAATCCTGAGATTGGGAGTTCGATCCCCCACTGCCCCAGACTGCCACTCTGGGTCCCTGAGCAAGGCCCTTGTGCGGCGCCCGGGGAGGGCGCTGCCCACTGCTCCCCAAGGGGATGGGTTAAAAGCAGAGATAAATTTCTCCGATGTGAGATTTAAGCGTGGTTTGTGCTACACGCTGTGGGTCTAGATACGGCCAAGGCGGCGAGGAAGTGGGGGCCAGTTTAGTCCGACGACGGAGGGACATGAGGGCCAAAAACGGGCGGAGATCCAGGTGGTAAAAGGGTCCCAGCGTTCTTCTAGCGGGTCAAACTTCACGAGTTGTTTTCCGCAATTTCGGTCATGAAAACAAAACAAGCCGGCCTCCTGTCTGCGGCACTGTCTGCGGTCAGCTACAATTTGGGAGAGGAGC